GTGGTCAAGGGCTGCCTGGAGGCACTGCCCCTTGGGTAAGCAAGGCACTGGAGCCAAGCCTTTTTTTAGCTTGTCAGCCAGCTCTGTGACCTTGGGCTTCAACTTCTGCCTCCATCAAATGGGACTGATAGTATTTTCCTAGCTGCTGAGTAGCTGTGGCATCTCCTATACCTCGGGTGGCCCCTGTCTCTTAGAAGCAGGTATAGGTGAACTCTAGGGCCGCTGCTCCTGAGAACTTAAGTTGTGCTTATCCCCCATGCCTTGCTAGGAGCTGCTGGTTGACTGTTACAAACCCACTGAGGTAAGTCAGTGGTTTCCCCAGAGGGTGGGATGAAAAGAACTTGGGCTCTTGTCATCTTGGGGTCTGGTCTCCCTAATGTCCTCCCTCCTGTCCAGGCCTTCATCTCTGGCCTGCTGGACAAGATCCGGGGCATGCAGAAGTTGAGCACACCCCAGAAGAAGTAAGGGTCCCTGACTCAGGTGACCAGTGGCTCCCACAGGACAATCGCTGCCCCCTGACCTCGTAGCAACAGCAATACCAGGGGGCCCTGCGGCCAGGCCTGGTGCCATGAGCAGGGCTCCCTGTTCCCCTGGCCCAGGGGCCTCTCTTCCCTGCCCCCTCAGTTTTCTTGGGGGTTTTTTATTGTTATTAAACTGATGGGACTTTTTGTGTTTTTATATTGACTCTGCGGCGCGGGCCCTTTAATAAAGCTAGGATACGCCTTTGGTGCAGCTAATGGGCTCTGGCTGGTCTCTTTCAGAGGGGGACACACTGCTTTACAACTGCTACCAGCTCAGCTTCTCCCCAGGTGACTACAGACCTGCCTGAGGACCACGTAGCCATGGCAATAGCCCAGTGCTGGCTCATAGACCAGCAGCTGGAAGTGGCTAGGGAGTTGGGGAGCAGCAGTGTTGCTGTTGGCAGGCATGAACTCCCTTTTCCCTCTGGGCAAGGGCCAACATGTCACCCCAGGCCTAGCCAGTGACCCCCATGCCACTGAGCCTCAACACCAAGGTTCTACCACCAGAAAGGAGAGGAGTTGGTGAATATCAAAGGAGAGGAGAAGCTGAAACTGGTTTCTATCTCAGGGCCCATAAACACACACAGGCTCATTTAGTGGGCTTTAAGCTTTTTTTGTTTTGTTTTGTTTTGAAACAGTCTGGTCCCTGATGGGGTCCTCCACCGCCCCTCCCCAGTTTGGCTACAGTTCTGACCGTCGCTCGATTTTGAGCAGCTCCACCTCAAACACCAGGGTTGCACCACCTGCAGGGGAGAAGTGGGATCAGAATGAGAATGGGGCCACGGGGGACTAGGATGGGTGCAGGAGAGGGGGGGCAGGAAGATACTGTACCTGGAATCTTTGGGGGAGCGCCCCGCTCTCCATACCCTGTCAAAGATGCACAAAGAAACAAAGTGAGCTGTGGCCAGGCAGAAGTGTTTTGCAGACATCCAAGCTGAAGCTGAAACCCAGGTCTCTGCCCATCTCAACGAGAAGGCATAATGGAGATGGGAGGCTGCTGTGAAACGCCTGGTAGAGAGCAGAGGATGGGCACCAGAGCTGAGTGCCTCATGGGTCTTGCCCTGTCCTCACTGCTGGACACAACTAGACTTGGAAGAGGCATGTTGCTGTAGGAATGGATGAGGTGGAGACCAGTGCAGAGGCTGAACCAGCCTTCACCCTTCCCAGACGCCCTAAATTCCTCTATCCCTGTTCAGAAAAGGCCTCTCTTACCCAGCTCTGATGGGATCACCAGCTTCCGTTTTTCCCCCTCACACATCCTGCAGGACAACACATGTTCAGCACATGGCAGCACCCAGGCTCCCTGCCCACCAACCCATCCCTGGGGATTGCCTCCCAAGGTTCACTAAGTGGAGCACAGCCATGGCCCCCACCAACTCACCCCAGCAGCCCCTGGTCCCAGCCCTTGATGACCTGGCCTGTGCCCAGGGAGAAGACAAAGGGCTGGTTCTGGGGCAGGCTGCTGTCAAACTCCGTCCCATCTTCCAACTTCCCCTGCAGGACCATGGGAAGACCAGTTAGGAGAGTCGCTCTGACCACTCTCCCCAGCACTCCACAACCCTACCTCATAGCACTGGCAGCTATAGTCCTAAGAGGACAGACCCTCAGGCGGCTCACAGTACATTGCTGGTGCCAACCCAGGGAGTACACGGTAAAGAGGGTAGAACCATGGAAACTGGCATAGGGGAGAGAGAACTAGCCCAAGGTCACCCATCATGTGGGCACTGGAACCTAGCTCAAGTCCTTTACTGTCAGCAGAAACCCCAGCTACCCCAAAATCCCCACCCCTCACCCACCGTGTAGTGCATGTGCAGGACATCCCCTTTGCGCGATTTGATGGGACACTGGTCTACCCGCTTCTTGACCCCGATCTGCAGCTTCCGTTTGCCCTCGGCGGCCCCTGCGGCCGTGGCCTGGGCACTCAGGCAGATGGACAGTACTGTCAGGACCCAGCTCAGCCTCATGTCTCTGCGGGGACAGACCCCCAACCGACCAACCGACCGGAGGGAGGGCAAGGAGGGCATGGAATACAGGCGACTACTAAAATTTCACCCCCACCAATATCGCCTGTTCCTGGGGATCCCCTTGTCCCGGATCACCGCACCCTCCCCGGGGCTTCGCGGCCACACTTACCAGTCCAGCGAGAAGGGGGCTTGCCCGAGGACCCCAGCAGCGGGGGGAGGGGGTCAGGGGAGGCCACAGCAGCCGGGGCCCCGCCCCTTTGCTCACCCCCAGCCCTTCCTTCCCTCCCGGTCCCCAGCTTCGCTCTTCAATTCCCACCTGCCCCTTTACGCAAAGTCCAGACCCTATCTGGCTGCCCAGCAGTTGCCGCAACCGGGCGACCCCACTCCCGCCACACCCAGTTGCCTCCCGCCCAGCACACCCACACCTCTGCAGCCGCTGCAGGGGGCCGACCGCGAGGCACCCACACATCGCCGCTGGGTGGCTCCGGGGAGCCTCGGTCCTCTGGTGGTACCCCCCAGGCTGGCCCTGTGCCTCCGCCCGGAGTACCGCCCCAGCTCTGAGCCCTCGGAGGTCTTCGGGGCACCCAAACTGGTCCCGTGTCGGCTGGCCGACTAGCCCGCTCCACCCACACCACTTCCCCAGGGGGAGTTCTCGGCCTACTGCGTCCCCAGGCCCGACCCCCACGGAGACCGCCCCTGCGTGGACGCCCCGGGCCATTACCTGGGCCTACCCAGTCGCTTTGCTCCTTGGCCCCGCCCTTTAACGGGTCCGCCCTCGGCCCTGTATCTCCGCCCCCGGCAGAACTAGACCTTTCTTCCTTAACTATAACCAAGCCGCTCACCGGCTGAGGCACCGCCCCCAGCACCTGGGCTCCGTCCCCCTCGGTCTCCAAACCCTGGGCTCCACCTCCTGCCTGTTTCAGCTCCTCCTCCAAGGACCAATCTGCGCTCCCCACCAGTTCTAGCTCCGCCTCCAGCCGCGGAGCGCCGCCTTCCACTGGTCCCAGCTCAGAGGTCCCAGCCGTCTCGGTTCCACGCACCGCCCCGACTCCCGGGGCTCCGCCCCGTGCGACGGGAGACCTCTTCCCCTGCGGCATTCCCAGACAGCTCCGACCCTACCCCCAATTTCCTCTTAACCTATCCCTTGTTGACACTCGGAACCCCGACCCGCTCCTGCCCGGCCTGACCCAGCCTGCCCCCTTGCACCCCCAGCTCCCCCCAGCCCGGGCTGTGGCCCCCCGCTCACCTCCTCGCCGCGCCCCCGGAGTCAACCCCAGTCGTGCGGCCGCCTCTGCGCAGGCGCGTCATCGCCGCTACCAAGCCCGGCCACGCCGCCCGCCCTCATTGGACCATGTGAAACTCGCTGCCACAAGCCCGCTGGGGCGGCCCCTTTCCTAGCTCCGCCCCTGAGCCTTCCCATGCTTTACGCATCACTTCCGGTGGAGAGATAGTCTGTAAGGTTAGGTGAAAGTGACTTGCAAATGCCCGGACACTTCCCGTCGAGGTGAGATTAAGGTCAGGCGGTCGCAGATTCCCTGAGGGGGGTTATTGAGACGCCGTTTTATGTCGACCCCAGCCTATCCCATAGTGCCCCTGTTTGTCCCTGGCCCACTTAAGGATCCACAGTTCCCGTTTAGTAGCTGTGGAAAGAGCCTGGGCCACAGAGTGAGACTTGGGTTTGAATTCGGGTCTGCCACTCATTGGCTGTGTGACCTTGAGCAAATTCCTTGGCCTGGCAGGATTTGGTGTCCCAGTTACACGGTCTTGGCACCCTGTAGGACTGCTGCAGTGATGTGCCCGCTAAGCCCTGGCCCACAGTGAATGCTCTCCCTTCTCTCCCCCAGAATCCAGGCCTGCCACCGTCTGCCACATACTGACCACCAAGTCATGACTGTAATGGTCTGGTTGGGAAAAAGACTTATTTTCAGGTTTCCCATTACCCAGCAGTGCCCAGTAAACATCTGTCAATTGAAGTAATGAACCTGTACAGTTTGGAGGCATCCTAAATTGAGTGTTAGGATAACAGCCAACTTGAGGTCAGGTCCCCAGGCCAAGCACCTTGTGGGAACCCATTTCCTCAATTGCGAAAGGAAGATAATAAGAGCGCGGACCTCTGAATTGAGGACTAAGTAAGTGCTGATGAAGCATTGTGCCTTTTAGCAAGTGCAGTGGCCTCAGGAGGTGTGAGCTGTAGGGTTCTGCACTTATGGAAACTCAGGTTCAGAAAGAGAGGGGCAGTAACAACCAAGGTCACTTAGCAGATCTGGGTTCCACCTCAAGCTCACTCGTCAAATCAGACCATATCCTAAAAAGGAACCCTTTGAGCAGTGACTTCCCAGGCCCTGGCGATAACGTGAATGTGAATAACACACCATTCTGGCTCTGTCTGTGACCTGGTGTGGGGCCTTGGGCCTCATTGGCCCAGCGGCACAATGAGGGAGTAAGACCTGCTCTGGGTCTAGGAAGCAGTGTGAGGCGACATTCAAGCACAAACCAGCCGGCCTGGACAGTGACAAACGGTGACACAGGCAGGGACAGTGCCTTCCATCTCTTTTATCAGGATTGGGGTCACAAGTCTCACACCAAAGCCCAACTCCCATTATCTGCTCAGTATCAGGGTCTCTGGAGAGGAGGGAGGAGCCAGTTGTAAGATGCTCTGTTGCACAGGGCGGTTAAAAATTGAGATGAGACCCCATTCTCCTAAGTTGTATGTGACCCCTTTTGCTGCCTTCCAAGGCTCCTGGTCCAACTCTGCCCACCCTGCTCGATGGCAGTCTCTGAGACTCCGGACCTGGAGCAGCTTCCGCTTGAGCTGAAGTCTTGGGAGCTGGGCTGTTCTCACCAGGCTGCCTTCTTTTCCCCCTCTGGGGTGTGGCCTGTGAGGTAAGTGGCCTCGCTGAGTCTGAAAAGCAATGTGTCACCTTCGCAGCTTCCGGCACCTGAGGAGAGGAAGAGGTGGTTCGCTTGTGTTGGCTCAGCCCCTGCTCCCCTAGACTCACACTGCCTTGTTACCCTGTGAACCCAACTCTCTCCTAACACTCCTAGGAAGCCCTAATTAGCCTGTGATACCTCCTGGTGGAAGGAGGTGAGAAGCATCTTGGACAAGGACAAACTTATTCCACTATGTCCCCTGGCCTCTTGGAGCCCATAAGGTGGGACAAATGTCTAGCACAGGGACTTTTGGGAAGGACCAGAACTTTGCAAACTGGAAAGCTGTCTCTCCCATTTCTACTCCAGGCAGATGTCTTCTCCCCCAGGACATCTCTGACTTCTCAAGATGATGCCAGGTGCCACTTACCTTTGCTATCAGCCTTGATATCCTTTGCTGGCACCACATGTCCTTGTGTCTGAATCCCACATTAGAATGTAAGCCTTGTTTATGCTGATCCCAGTGCCAGCAGACACTTGGTAAATATTTACTCAATATTTTCAACAGCTTCCCCTTCCCTGGCTCTCCTCCCATTGGCAGGCTCACCCTGGACCTGCTCCAGAACAGGGCAATGGGGCCTTCCCAAGCAAACACTGCCCTGTATCTCACCTGCAGGTGTCTGGGTTGAGCTCTAAGCCCCGCCCTTGGCAACGGAGGAAGCTGCGGCGTCTGCAGTGGCAACGGCAGGTCTGGGGGTCAGGGCGCTGGCGGTGCTGGAGACAGCGTGGGCAGAGGGGCCTGGGGCTGGAGTGGGATGGGTGATGTCAGCTGGGGAGGGTGCTCCGGGGACAGAGTCCCAGCCCGGAACTGAGCGGGGCTGGGGACGATGGTGGGGAGTGGAAGCCCTAGGAGGAGAAGCAACATGTGTGGGATGGGAAGGAAGAGTCTTCCCAGGAGCTGGCATTGGGGTCAGAGCACACAAACTTGGGGCGCAAAGGAAAAGGGGGTAGGGCACAGGTGGGAGGAGTGGGAGGGGAGGGGACCACAGCTTCCTGACACACATGTTTAGCCCTGCCCCACCAGCATGTTGCATCCCGGGCACTGGGCCTGGGCTCCACTCCCACCTCTGCAGGAGCCCAAGACACTCACCTGTCCAACTTCGCTGCACTCTGTCTTTTTTTTGGTCTGAAAAGTAAAACATACAGAGGCAAGGAGGAGGAGGATCAAGAAAGCCAAGCATCCTACTGTCTTACCCTAGATCCCAGGCCTACCCCAGCTCTACTCTCAGAAACCTGGTCTCCAGTGCAATGTCCCATAACACCCAACACCCCCAAGCCTGGTCTCTGCGAGCTCAGAAGTGGGGCCTGGCTGGCACCTGCATTCACACTGGCTGTGCTCTTCCAGGGACATCTCCCCCAGCTGACTGCTCGGGTACCGGATCATGAGGATCTGTGCTCAGGAGAATGGGGAGAGAGACAATGAGAGAGTTAGGGAATGCTGCATGGGCTGGAGGGAGAAGAGTTTGCCCACCAGCCAGGGCTCTGGCCTCCAACCCCTCTTCCTCCAGAGTGCCAGCCTCCACCCCAGCTGGCACACTCCACCTGCCCCAGTACCTGCATTCGGACTTGGTGCTGCCCAGTGGGCACACACTCCAGGCCATCGTCAGGGCAGCAACCCCCACAGCGCTGCACAGTCACACAGCTGGGCACCAGTTGTTTGGCCACAGTGCCCATGAGCTCCACAGTCAGGGGCACCACCACTTCCCGTGGCTGACAGGTGGCACGAGCATACACGTCTATCCATGACATCACTGGAGATAGATGTGTAAGGCTAAGTCCCCACTGGGTTTCCTGCAGCGGCTCCCTGGTTCCCTTACCCTGCTCCCAGCATATGTTCTCCGAAGTCCTGTGTCACAGTCACCTACCACTAGCCCTGCTGCTGCCCTCCAACCTGTCTTCCCCTGCCCTGCTCATCCAGAACCCAGGAACATCACTGCTCAATTTCCTTCTTCCTGAATAAGAGTTTTCATTTTACAAAGTGACTATGATTCTACAAGATGATGAACACATGGAGCCTGGAATCAGGGCTCTATTAAACCTTAGTGCTAGCTAGTGCAAAGTAGGTGTTACCATTACCTTTTTTCTGGTGGCCAGGGGCATCAAGCTGGGAGACAGGGGCCTGTAGGAGAGAAGAGACCTGGTCCCAAGGTGTACTCTAGAAGGGCTAGCTAGCCCTCTTGCTGTCCCCGGAGCTCTTCCCTTGCGATCAGGAGGCTTCAACTTCTCTTGGACATTTTTCCAGATTGCTCAGTTCCTTGGGCCACTCTAGTTTTGCCTGTCCTCTCCTGGTCACCTGGGACTTGCCCTGGCCACCACGGGCCAGGTGCGCCCTGTCGGCGGCATCGAATCTCCAAGCCTGGGGACTGGGCTTGTTCCGGAAGCCATAGGTCAGAAGGGGGCACAGTGGGCGCCGAACCAGGTCTAGCGGGCACCGAGTAGGCTCCGCCCCCGGCTGCGCCCAGGGAACGGGGTGGAGCGGGGGAGTGGCCCGGGGCTGGACTGGCGGGCTGGCGGGTCGGTGGGGAGGGACATCTCCCCGGGGATGCCCAGGCCGGGGCCCCGGAACGCCTGGCTCCGCGGCTCGACCCAGCGGATCACGGAGGCCGAGGCTGCCCCGCGCCTCCCCACTTCCGCCAACCTTGAGAGGGCACGGCGGGCGGGCGGAATGTCGGGGAAGCACGTACCTGGGCGGGGGCCAGCTGCAGGAGCGCGGCGAGCAGCAGACGGCGGAGCAGGGGGCTCATAGTGCCCGCGGGGGCCGCGCGCCTGGGGCGCCCGCATCGTCCTAGCCCGGCGGCGCTGGGGGCGGCGGCAGCCAGAGCCCCATGGCGCGGGCCCGGGCGCGGCGGTCGGGGGCCGGGCGCGAGGGGCGGCTCCTCCGCGCCCCCCTCCCGAGCCCTGGGCGCAGGCAGCGCAGCGCAGCGAAGCGGCGGCGGCCGGAGGAGCCGGGCGGGAGGGCGGCCGGTGGCGGCGGCGGCCGGTGGCGGAGGGGACGGGGGCGACGGGGGGCCGGGCCCGGGCTGGCGGGCGGGCGGCTCATGTGACTCAGACACGCGCTCCCCACCGGGCCGCGGGGCGGGGTGGGTGGGGGGCGAGGCCGCTGGCCGGGCCCGCCCCCTCCACACACCCACTCCTGCCGCAGCAGGAGAAAGGGGACGCACCGCCCAGGGGGCCGGGCTCCCGGGTCAAGGCCACCAGAACCCTGAGGGCGGGGCGCAGTCCAGGCGGGGCCCAGGCGGGGGGCGCTGGGCCTGAAGGAGGGAACCGGACAAGAACTCTAAGAATCACTTTATTGTACGCGTCTGGGAGAGTGGGGAGTCCCGGGAAGAGATGCAAGGAGCAACCGCACAGAGGCCATCCACGTGAGCCGCTCAGGGGCTGGTGCCCGGGGGTACAATCTCAGGACATTGGGGAGGCCGGGGTGCTGGCTGATGCTGCTGTCTGTGTAGGTGCTCCCGCTGAAGCCTGGCTCTGCTGGCCCTGCAGGAGAGAGCAGCCAGGTGGTCGGAACACAGATCGTGTGGAGTGATGCCTGGACAGTGAAAAGAGGGCAGCGACAGACCTGGCCCGGGCCCGCGTGTCATTGTAGATGGCTGTGATGATACGATCCTTTTCATCCATGAAGTTTCGGTGCATCTGCTCCAGCTTCCTGCAAGGCAATTGCAATTAACCCTGGGTCCCACAAACCCCACCACCTCCCTCCACCCCACTCTAGGTCTCACAGCTTTACATCTCCGCCTAATTGCCTATGCTAGCTGGGGAGAAGGACCCAGAGTGGCCAGGGCTTCTCAGGATCCAGTGGCAACCCAGGTCCTTGACTGCCCTGCTCAAAGTGGTGACAGCAGCTCTGAACATCAGGGTGATCCTTGCAGGAGACTAAAAAGGGTTGTACATCTAACTCCCTTAGCAGTGGGCACCCTAGCAGTAGGCACCAGTTTTTAGGTGCCTTTGCTATGGAACCTCAGGGTTATGGCATGCATGGGAGAGTGGTGGGGAGACAGATGACTGCAAAATAAGTGAGGACAGGTGCTGGTGAGGCCCAGTTATAATACATTTCCTTCCTGTCCATGATTTTGGCTGGTTCCAGCACTTCCTGGCAGGCACACTGAGGATTTACATTCAAATGATAAAAAAATGAAAATGACATTAGCCCTTGGTGCAAAGCTGCCTGTGCTAAGGTGAGGCTCAGAGCTACTTCATGCAATTCTTAGCTTACGAGACAGAGTACAGGCCACAGGGGTGGTACGGTTGCCTGGCTGACCACAATGGACTTCACCCACCCTCCTGCCCTCTGTCCATCACCCCAGGGGAAGATGGGGACGCACCTGAAGGCAACATAGTGCAGGCCCATGCCTGCCAGCATGACCAGCAGGCAATACCCCAGCACCCGCTGGTTGTGTTTGTGCTGCTGCTGCCTCAACTCCGGTCCCTTAGGCCTCACGCCATGAAACTGGGCCCAGTACTGTGCATTGGGGGGTGCCCAGGAGCTGCTGGGAGGGAGAAGGGAGTATGGGGATCAGGTTCCCCAGGAGCCTAGGGGTAGGATAAACTTGGGGCAAGACTACTTACTGTACCTGTGTGATTGGTGAGTAGCCCTGGGATGGGCTGTGGTTCCTGGAGACTTGTGGGGAGCTGCTCTGCTGAGCTGGTGGTCATAGATGCAGCGACTCTGCTTGTGGCTGAGCACTTGGTATGCTTCACTCAGCTCCACAAAGCGGCTGTGCAGAGCTGGGTTCCCTGGGTCCCGGTCTGGGTGCAGCTGGGGTGGGGCAGGACTCCCCTCATCTCCCTTTCTATACCCCTTCCCAGAACCTGTCCCAATAATGTCTACCCAGAGGGGTTCAAATAATTCCAGTGAGGGCAGTGACCCTCACTCCAGCCTGCCACACTTCCAGAAGGCCAGAGTCAGGAGAACCTGCCACCTGCCCTTGTTCAAGCCCTCCCCACCTGGTGTCTGGCTCTCACTATAGGCCCTGGTCCAGGCTTTCTCAAGAGAAGGCAGATCAAGAGAACCAAACCCAGCCCATCAGTTAGGACCCCTAGCTTCTGCCCCCAACCTTTCCTTCTACCAGGCCAGACTTCTGTCCTTGGAGATCCTCTTCCTCCCTATGCATGCCAAGTGAAACTGGTACCAGCCAGTGAGCTTCTCGGCTTCTGACCTGGGAATTTGGCATCCACCCCATCTGGCTCAGACTTACCCTCCCCACTTCCTGTCTAGGACCACTGGTACCTCTTTGGACTTGGAGAAGAAAGCTCGTTTAACTTCTTCAGTGCTGGCACCAGGATGCAGCCCCAACAGTTCATAGTAGTTACTGGGGCCAGACCTGTGGAGGGTCCAAACATGCAGAGGCTAAGGAAATACAGAGGATACCCCTTCCCTGCCTCCCAGCCCCCTAGGCCACACCTTTCAACTCAGCAACCAGGAACTGAGGGAGCTAATGCAGGTACCAAGGGAGATCAGTCTCCAAATCTTCCCTCCCTTTTCTGAGTGTTTCAGGTACGGTGTATTAGAACATCTCAGTGTGTGTAGTCCTCAGAACCCCTGGGTCAGAAATACGTGAAAAGCTTGTTTAAAAAAACAGATTACTAGCTTTGCGCAGTGGCAGTATCGTAGCCAATGAGGTTTATCCGAGGCGCGATTATTGCTAATTGAAAAAAAAAAAAAAAAAAAAAACAGATTACTGAGCTGCAGTTAATTCCTGCAGATCAGAATCTCCAGTGCAGGGCCTAGGATGCTGCATTTTTTGTAAACTTTCCTCTCCCAACCCCACCAGGGGGTTATGCAAAGTGATGCTTGAAAACCACAAGAGTTGTGGAAAGTGCATTGGATTTGGATTGGGTTCAAATTTCAGATCTGCCACTTAATGTATGACCTTGGGGTCGTCCCTTAATCTCTGATCCTGTGTTCTCAGCTGTGAAGGTGAGGGTTATCTAGACAACCCTATAAGGTACCTGACACAAAGTAGGGAGATCACGACTATCTTAGCACCTAGGACAGGGCCGAGAGCTGGGAAGGCCCTCAACAAAAAACCCACCGAGCAACCGGAGCACTCCCGACGCTCAACTCACCGCTGCCCGGCGGCCGCGGTGAAGAGCCGGGTGGGAGGTCTGCGGGTCCACAGCCGGCATAGGCGCAGAGGTAGCAGGGGCAGCATGGCGACAGGCGGACAGCTGATGAAAGGAGGCCACAGAGTACATTGGGACCAGGATGGGACCAGACTTCAAGCACTCCCGAGGGAGAAGAAACTCGGCCCCATTTACTTGCGAAGGAAAACTGAGCAGGCCCGGGAGTCCTTGCTCAAGACCAGACTAGTGTTCCGGACGTGTCCCCGCCTCTAACCCGGGCGTCCGGGGCCCTTCTCTACATCGGTCTCTATCTGGACAACCAGCACCGGAGGCCGACCCCTTTCCCATCCTGGGAGCTCGGTGCGGGAGGGCGAAGGAGGAACCCTGACAAGCCACGCCCCAGCTGCACTCACCGACTCTGCGGCCGCCGCCATTTCCCTGCTCCTATCCAGGCCCTGCCTCCACGTTCTCACTGGCTTAGACGCCAGGCCACGCCCCCACCCGCCCATTGGTCTTTGACGCCCGGGGCTCACCAACTGAGGCCCGCGGACTTGCTGAAAAGGCGGAGGCTCCCATCTCGGCGGCGGGAGGGCCTGAGTCCTACCCTCTGTTAACTCCGCTCTGCAGCAAAACATGTTTCACGGAGCAGCTTTCACCCTATAGTTGGCTTGTTCCCCTCACCAGAACCTGGCAAAGGGGCACGGCCCTCATCCCAACTTACATAGGGGGACGTTTTTTTCCCAAGTCATTTCTCTCTCACCCACCAAAGTTCTCCCAAGAGGCCCCTCTGTCTCATGGAAACAGGAGATGCCAACGGAATCCAAGAATAAAGTCCTTTATTGTCTTGCGAGCTATGGTGATAGGGCTGGGGACTCCAGGGCGACTCAGATGGGACTCCCTTGGACCACGTTGTAGAGGAATATGGCGCCTTTGGCAGAGGGGCAGAGCTCAGCCCACAGTTTGGTCTCCTGTAGCCTGCACACTCTCTGTGGGGACACAGTGAGACCCAGACCCCAGGCCCTCAGGTTCCTGAGCCTCAGAGCCCTCCCCACTGCACTGTTCCTAGGAGATATGATCAGGTCCCTGGCCCTCTCCCTTGGTTTGAGGGCAACTCCAATGAGGCTCTGTAGCTCCCGAGGAAATCTCAGAGATTTGGGAGGCCCTCTGACCCAGCCTTGGGAGACAGACATGCCTTACCAGGCCTCTGTAAGCCCCAACCTCGGCTCCTTGTCCAAACAAGACACACTTTCCCACCTCACACCTGTGTCTCCACAAAGATGATTCCTGAGGACTCGTGGGCTTCGGGTCCCCCACTCATGTAGTGCTTCCTCACCTGCTCAGAAGTCAAGCTGCACCTGGGCAAGAATATGAGAGTGGCCTGGTGGTGTCCAGCCTCTGGAGAAGTCCCAGTCTCAACCACGCCCCTCCACTGCCCATCTACCCCAGGACCCAGGATACTATCCCCAGAGTTCACTCACTGGACGTAGAACTCGGCACTGGCACGACCAGCACTGGTCTCGTTGCGGGCAATGCCCAATAGCAGCGGCTGGCTCAGGGTGGGCAGCGGCAGGTTCACCTGTGGCCAGGGGAGCCCACCTGTCAGTGCCCACTGCCCACATTCCTGCCCCTCTCAATGAGAACAGCATGTTACTCTTGTACAGGTTTACATGGTTTGTAGTTCAAGTGGCCAGAATCACAGAATGTCAGATCTTGGGAGTGTTCATTTCCAATGGGAAATGATTGGACAACCAGATGGGAAAACCAGAACCAGAGAGACTGAACAATTTTCCCAGGATCACTCAGGGAAGTCAATCTAGTAACTGGGGCTCCTGTTTATCATTTATCCTACTTATCATCAGGCAAGACATTGACCACTGTTCCCACAATGAAAAAGAAGAACCTGAGGCATACAGAAACGAGGAGCAGAATTCCATCGGAAGTGTGCCCAGCTGCAAATCCAAGCTTTTCCTTCAATGCCAGATACCTATAGACCCTCCTACTAGCCCAGACCTGTGGAATTCTGGCATGTTCTATACCCTCCCTCCTTGCTCATCACCTTGTCTGGACCACCCATCACTCACCTCATCACAGATCTCCTGAAGGACACTGGAGAAGAGCTCATGCACCACCAGCTCCCCAGGGAGGTCCTTGTGCAGGGGGTGATCACCAGGGCACAGGGCCTGTGAGACATCAGGCTCAGCCCCCTATTCCCCACTTCCCACCCTGCCTTCCTCCACATTTGCTGGTTGGGCACAGGATAAGAGTCTTGGTGATCCCCTGACCCAGGCCCTCCTTTTCCACATAGACAACCATAGGTCCAGCTAGGTCTCCCCACCTCCACTCCCTAGCTTTCCACAGGTCTGGGGCAGGGGTTAGTGGGGAGTCTGAAGGGATGTCCTGAACAGAGACTTTCTAAGAAGCACCAGGCCAATTCCCCTTTTAAGGGATGAAAAAAACCAAAGCTAAGCTGTCTGGATTTTTGTACCTTTGAACCCAGCCTGATATCTCACCTGAGGTTCAGGGTGCCCTCCAGGCACATCCACCAGCCCAGGTGCCTCTGCCACTTGCCCAGAGCGGCGCAGGAAGACAAGGAAGTTGTCGGCGGTGGCCAGTGCTGCGCCCACCCCCAGCGGGTCGGCCAAGTAGGCTTGCTTGTCACCCCAGTCGGTAGCCCCCTGTTGTCGCAGCCAAGCAGCTGAGCTGGTCCAGTTAGTGCCCAGGAAGTCTCGGTAGGAAGTAAGGCCTAGGCGCAGGAGCAGCTGTGGCCCCTGTGAGCCAGTGGGAGCCAGGAGGACAGAGTGCAGGCGGAACTTGGGGGCATCAAAGAGCCAGGGCTGGGCCTGTAGCCGTCTCTCCCAGCTGGCAGCGATAGCCTCGTCCCCTCCTGGTAGTGGGCGACGGTCATGGGCCGGGCTCAGTTCAGCCCGTACCTTCTCCTCGGGCAGTCCACCCCAGGGGCACTGCAACAGCAGGGAGACCTCAGGGTCCATGGTCAGGGCGGGACAGCTCTAGGGGAGGACACAGCGGGGCTTACCACCCAGGGAGCCCCACAGCCACCCTGGGGCCCGGCAGCTGGCGCCCTCTGCTACAGACCTCCTGAGGGAACCCCCAGCCCTTGTGCACCCCCCTGACCATTCCCTGGCCAGTAAAGTATTTTATCGTCCAGCAAGACCCCTAAGTCTCCTGCTGCCAGACATCCCTCGGACTCCAGGGCTTCCCTACCACCCAGAGGTTCTGGGTCTAGTCGCCCCGTAATGCCCATGTCTCCCAACCCCAAGGATCCTGCCTTCAACTCCTGACGCATCAGGGTCCGAAAACTCCAGCCTCCAGACGCCACTGAGCCGCCACTCACCCGCCCACCCGGTCCTCAGGCTCCGCCCCTTCCCCCGGAACGGAAGTGCCCGCCCTCTTTTTTCTCGCCTCCTCATTGGCCGTCCCGGCGCTGTCTCGGGTCGCCGCGCGGCCGCGGGAGTCGCTGAGCGTGCTGGTGTCCTCCACCCTCTGGCTCTCTCATTCTTGACCAGGAGTGACCCTTCGCCCTGGAGCCTTCTCAGGCCGCCTTGCGGGACAGACCCTCTAGCCTGGAGCGCGGGGGTTCAACTTCCCGAAGCTCCGTGGCTGACGGTGTGACCTTGGGCAAGTCTTGCTTGCTGGGCCTCAGTTTCCCTATCTGCACCAGGTATTTGGGTGTGGGAAGTGAACTTAATGAGCTAAATATCCTCCTCCCAGGCTTTGTGACTTTCTGGGCAGGGTTGGGGACATGGGAGGGTCCTTAACAGTCCCTACACAGGTCTTGTGCTCCCCACAGGTCTGGGCCATGAACTCCTCTGGCAGCAGGAGGCAGGAAGCAGCAGGGCCGAGGAGTAGAAGAGCTCACAGACCCCGGGAAGAGGTGTGACTCTCTCCACTCTCACCCCGGCACCCCCATGGTGGGAGTGGAGGGGGACTCCAAGCCCTGGCTCCCTTGGAAATGCTGATGGGTGGGAGTGGGGGCTGCCCGAAGAGCACAGGAACTCCTCTCTCTCTGGCCTCCCTCTGCCCTGGGTCACCCAGAATTCAGGGTGAGCAGGGACCAGGGGCCACCTCTGGGCTCTTTCAGGACCGAGATGTGCAACTGTCCAAGGCTCTGTCCTATGCCCTGCGCCATGGGGCCCTGAAGCTGGGGCTTCCCATGGGAGCTGGTAAGTGCAGGTCTGCAGGCTGCAGCCAGGGAGCAGTGTGAGCCTTTCCATAACTGCCCCCACCCCCATGGCTTCCACTGCGGCCCTGTGGGAGGGGCACAGAGAACACATTCCTCCGTGTACAGGGAGGACTGGGGCCCAGAGCCCAGAGCCCACAGCCCAGTATGATGTCTGGCAAACTGGGAGAAGACTTTGTCTGGGCCAGGCCTGGTGATTCTCTCCAGCCCAATGGCCCAATAAACACTTATCCCAAGAGTGGGCACTAGAGGGTATTGGGGCAACCAGTGTTTTATTGAGTGTCCACTCTGGGCCAGGTATTGTGCTAAAATGGGTCACTTTATCTTTGTGACTCTTTAAGGCAGATCCTATTCCCATGTAAACTGAGGAGACTGAGATCCAGAAAGGGGAGATTTCCTAAAGGTCATGTTGATAAACCCCTGTGACCCCCTAAGCCCAGGCTGTTCTGATGCCTTTGGCTCCCCCTATTAACTCTGGCCCCGGGCCAAAGCAAGTTCAGCCCCTGAGCACACACCTGCCCACAGATGGCTTTGTGCCCCTGGGCACCCTCCTACAGCTGCCCCAGTTCTGCAGCTTCTCAGCCGAAGATGTGCAACGCGTGGTGGACACCAGTGAGAAGCAGCGGTTTGCCCTGCAGCCAGGGAGCCCCAGCACTGGCCCTCTCATCCGGGCCAATCAGGGTCACTCCCTGCAGGTGGGGGCTGAGGGGACAAGTGGGAGAGCCGGGTGGGACCAGTGCCTGTGAAGGGGTCTCACTGCTGCCCATTCCCCACCCATTCTAGGTGCCTGCACTGGAGCTGAAGCCCTTGGAGACCCCGCAGGCCCTGCCCCTGATGCTTGTCCATGGCACATTCTGGAAGCACTGGTCATCCATTCTGCTCAAGGGCCTATCTTGCAGGGGAAGGACACATATTCACCTGGCCCCAGGACTGCCTGGGGACCCTGGCATCATCAGTGGTCAGTGTGTACTGCCCCGCAGCTATTCCCACCCACTCTGTCCTCCCAGGTCCCCCTTCAGGCATCTCTTGTCCAATGCCACCCCATGCTCTGCATGCAGCAGCACGCCTCTTCCCCACACTGAGTCCAGGACCCCATGTTTGATGACTATAACCTCAGGTTCCTGTTGTCTCCATAGGCATGCGGCCAAATTGCGAAGTAGCTGTTTTCATTGATGGGCCCCTGGCCCTGGCAGGTGAGCCTGGATACAGCAGGGACTGCCCTAGGAGGAGGCATGAGTCACACCTATGGCTATGTCTGCAGATGGAATCCCCTTTTTCCGCTCTGCCAATGGGGTGATCCTGACTCCAGGGAATGCTGATGGATTCCTGCTTCCCAAGTACTTCAAGGAGGCTCTGCAGCTGTACCCTACCAGTGAGAACTCTATTTTTTAAGCTTAAATATGTGCCCTCTGTCCTAACTTCTTTCCCAGTGCCCAGCCCCAGGCTGACTTAGGTCTTTCTGTATCTAACCAACTCTTTTCTCTATCTCAGGAAAGCCCCTTTCCTTGGCTGGTAATGAAGAGACAGAGTGTCACAGTGTCCCCAAAGATAGCTCCAGAGGAAGAAGAATGATCCAACAATAAAATATTTATTTTAAAAAGATGTAAAAACAAAAAAAATTCCAGTTTGAACCATGAATCATCATCCCATAGCGACAGCTGGTCTTTCTAGTGTGCTCAGGGACAACAGCTAGGTTAGGGATGTTGGTCTCAGCCATCTGGACAAGGGAAGGGTGGGTGCTGTGTGAGCTCAGGGACCACCCTCCCTAGCCTGGGGGATAACAGAGTCTGGCCCAACCAGGTTCCTGGTTCTGCACAATGCCAGTGACAGTCAGTAAATGTACCCAGCTTAGTGCATGTCTGGACAGGGCGTGGGCAGTGAGTCCCAGTGAGTGTGGGCTTAGGAGTGGCCGTGGCAGGTGCTAAGCGGGGCAAGAGCAGAAAGACAGGCCTCAGAAGGCCTCGTGGCCTCCTGTGAGTTGCAGGAAAAGGTCTTCATCCAGTTCCTCCCCACGGGCCCGCTCCCGTGTTGACAGGAAAATGTAGCCGCCGATGTACTCGTGCACGATGCGGCAGCTGGCAGACACACTGCTGAAAGCCACGTTGATATGCTCATCAAACTCGATGGCGACCTGCAGGGTGGGCAGTCAGAGTGGCTGGCAGGGTGGGATAAGGGAGCCATCCCTGCCCTGCCCTGGCTGGGTCTGGCCCGGCCCCCTGCCCCATCCCCACCCTCATGCGGGGCCCACCTGCCGGATGTCCCAGTTAACATTCCACTGGCGCATGTTGCTGAAGCGCCAGGTCTTGACTACATCACCCACGGCCAAGTCTATTCGGATCAGTCGGTTGTTGGCAATGCCTAGGATCTCATCTTTCCTGCTGCCCTTGAACCTGGTCCCCAAGGGGAAAGAGTGTGAGGAAAGGCCCCATTGTGCATGGCCTTCTAGGCCACTCAGCCTGGTGCAGTGCTCAGGAGCAAGCTGTGCAAGCAAATAAGCCATTAGGGTCTCTGGGCCTCACGTTCCTCATCTAGAGAATGGGGGCTAACTGAAATAATCATGATGGCACTTAGCAGCCACACGCAAGTGGTCTATGCCTCTAAGTGACTTCTTTGCATCATCATCTGTTGCCTCACTCAGATTTCTGCAGGCTTGGGAAACGGCCAGCCAAAGGGGCACTCCCTGTCACAGCGCCCAGCACCGGCCCTGTCCTAGCCAGCTAACCACGGCCCGAGGGGGACTGGTCAGGGCAGAGGTAGGAGGGAAGCTGGGTCTCTTGCTCTCCTGGCCTGAGCTCATTCTCGTGTCTGCTGTGGGCTGCAGGATGGGGAGCACATGGGAGCCCTCAGTCGGGTCTACCCACAGATACAGGAAGGGAGGCCTCATGGTACCACCCACCAGACAGCAGGTGAAGGCAGAGACAGTGCTCGGCAAAGAGGCTGGGGTCGGGCTTGTACCTGACCATGAAATAGGAGATGCCAAAGTCGGGCAGGGACTGCCAGGCCTGGATGAAGCGCAGCTGGGCTTCTGACAGTGGGAGCTGGGCCACGTTCTGGTGGGCTTCCAGGATCCGTGGGGTGAGCTGCAGGACCACACTGGTGAGGGACTGCCCAAAGTCCCTGAGACCCTCGGCCTGTCCCCATCAGGGAGACGGGATGCTGAGCCTGGGGCAGGGGTATGGCCAGTGTGGGGCCAGCAGGGTACACCTCACCACTCAGCAAATATGAGCTGAGCCGGGCCCTGAGGTGGGCATGGGCAGGGGCACCGTGAGCCCTCCCAGAAGGGGCAGGCCAGCATGCTCGGGCTTAGGGACACAGGTGGGAGAAGGAGTGAGTGAGCACGTGGCTTTCCAGAGGAAGGCTCTGGGGTGATCCAGGGTCCAACGGTGGCCAGAAGAATGCTATGGTCATTCCTGCCACCAACTCTCTCTGGTACCTGCTTTGCCTTGAATTTTCGCTGGAAGCGGGGGGCAACAAGGCCATAGGGGTTAAGGCCCTCAGTGGAGGCATCAAGGCTCTGGGGGTGGTTGCCCGAGCCCCCAGCGCCTGTCCGCTGCAGGCTGAGGAAAGCCAGAATGGCCTGCACCTCGCTGGCGTAGCTACTGTCCGCCATGGTGCGGCCCTTGGAGGCCAGGCGGCAGCCGGCCATCCAGTGGGCATACTGCTGCTCCTGGGGTGGGAGGAACATAGGATGGTGGTGAGGGGCTAGCCAGACTCTGGTTCAGCCTCCTGCCCCTGTCCCTGTCCCCACTCCAGCCCCTGCTCAGCCCTCACTCACATCCTGGCACCGTAGGTAGATCTCACTCATGCCCTCAGGGGAGGGCACCAGGAGCTTGATACAGAACTTCTGGCCTGAGACATTGACATCAGGGACCACCTCACAGCCTGGAGGAAGAAGGGGTGGGCTTCTTAATGAGAGGCCCCTCGGTGATGCACAGCCTCTCAGGACAGAGGGCATCTTCCCTGGCCTCCAGGAGGAAACCGAGTAAGAGCATTACCTGCCCAGCCGACAGGAGGGCCCCTCTCCAGCCCTGCCTTGATCCTGTCCTGGCCAGGCCACCTTCACTTACCCTTGAGGTTGAGCTGTTGAATGGGGTCCCCCGGGGCCTCGTCCTGGCTCTTATAGTAGGACAGTGTGGTCTCCTTGAACACCACCCAGTGTTGGCGGTACCCCTTCAGGGTCAGCTTCCGGGGCCTGAGAGTGAGGAAAAGGTGTGTGAAAGGCCACCTCCCTCCCTCCACTCTCTCTCCACACTGAGCTCCTCTGGTAGGGCTGCCAGCTCTGGGCCCACACTCACCGGAAGATCCGAAGATAGTCCTTGAGTTCTGGGATGGTGGTGAGGCTGTCCTGGGGAGGAGAGGAGTCAGAGGGGGCCAGGTCCCAGGGCTTGGCCATGACCCAACCCCTGACTGGAGGCCCTCCTCACCAGCATATCCGTGGACGCTGACCCCTCCAGCTTCACCTCCAGGTTGCTCAGGGCTGCATCCAGGTCGTCAAGCCCCGGGTCTGTGCCAGCCGGGTCATCCACTTCCCCACTCTGGGACAGCTTGTTGATGTGGTACTGTGTGGGGCACAGGGCCAAGAAAGGGTGATTTGGCAGCCCATTAGCCCAACAGGGACCTGAGCTGGGCTTCCCTGAAGACAGGGCCCCATATGGAGGACGTCTGTGCCCTGGGACTGTCTGCACCCCGGCCCCCCAGGCCTGGGCGGCACCTGCAGTGCTGCAAACACCATCATCTCCTCCTCGGTGCAGTCAATCTCCTCCAGCAGCAGGTCCCACCGGGCCTGTTCATACAGCTGGGTCAGCCGCACTGGGTCTGCCTGGAGCGGTGGGAGGGGGAGGCTGCGTTGGTGCCCACTGCCCTGAGCACCCCGTGCACCTAAGCCCCCCACACCTAAACCCTACCTCTGCACTGTGGCAAGCTCACGCAGTGGTCCTACGTGGCAGCAGGCCCCAACCACAGCTTTATGGCCTGCCAGCCCCACCTGCCCAGGCAAGTGGCACCTTCTTCCCTTTAAACCTTTTGTACAGATGCTGACCGTATGTCTACTGTGTGCCCTGCATGCTGCAGGGGCACAAAGGGGACTGAGTAAACCAATCAATAGATAGGTGAAGTGATTCAAGAGTGCAATAAAAGCTCTAAAAAGGACACAGGTTCCATGGGGCATCCACATGATGCCCTGGAATGAGGACACATGTTCAGTGGTGATGCGAGAGAACAGAACTAGTGTGCCCGAGACTACTCTACGGGAAGAAGCACTTGGAGGGGCCTCTTGAGGTGCCCACATGCTGCACTAAGGCCTGAAGGGTGACAACAGGCCACTGAAGGGAAGAGCGAGAGGAAGAACATTCCAGAGAGAAAACACAGGGAGTGCAAAGCACAAAGCGGGAAACCAGTTACCCACACAAGACCAAGCCCACACACCCTCTGAAACCCACCAGAATTGATAGCAAAGGCATAGAAAAGGTAAATCCAAAGAGAGGGAACTAGGCGGGTGAAAGATGCCAAGATTTTGGAAGACAGAAAGCAAAAACATGAAGGAGAATTGAGTTCCAGGGGGAGAAAGCAGGAATCACTCTTTTCCCCTCCTGTTCTGTGGGAAAGGCATGAATGAGGCTTGAGAACAGGCAGAAAGCACACAGTAAAAAATACAAAAATCTGAGCAAAGACATCCTTCACATGGCATACCCCAGGAGAGACTCTGGACCAGGACCTCTGAGCCGAGAGGTCGGGGGCGCTCAAGCGAGGACTGTAGAGCATCTATGAAAGGAACACATCCCTCCCCACTCCCTGCAGTCAAGTGACGGCCAGCGGGTACCTGGCAGAAGCTACAGAGGCTGAACCAGAGGTACCCCTGTATTTGGTACTCTAGGCACAGCTGGGTTAAGGGGAGCATTGTGCTAAAAAACAGATGAATTAAGAGAAGGTTGGCATTCTCAGGGGTAAGACCCCCAGCCCTTCCCCACTTGTCACCCTACATTTTGGCAGTGAGCCTTTTACCTACAGTTGGGAGACCAGAGGTTCACTGCTGAGGAACTAATGAGCCAAAGAGAAACTCCTCCACAAAGAGTGGCATCCCTGCCCCATCGCTGCCAGGAGGCCCCCTCAAATGCCAAGCCCCATTTCATCTACTCAGGATTTCCAGTCAGTTTCTTAGAGCTTTACTTTTAAATATGAAAAGACAGGCAAGGGTTTCCCACATTTAAGGGAAAGCTGCTAGCAGAAACTGGAGAGACCAACACAAGCAAGAAAAAGAGAGCTTAGAGGAAATAAAGGCAATGTAGGGAAGAACAGAAAACTTCAAGTGCTAGTCAAAATCCTTATTGAGACAAAATGCTGCACTTATGAAATAAGAACAGGATGGGAGACACATATTTATGTTCACCTGGCTTAGGACAAAGGTGCCCCTGCAGTCACTCGGGAAAGGATGCTCTTTTCAATAAATGGCACTGGGTCCATTGGATATTCGTATGTAAAAAAACTATTTGTACCCCTACCTCACACCACATACAAATGTCAATTCCAGATGGATTGTAGATCTAAATATGAAAGTCAAAGCAATAAAACTTTTAGAGAAAGATTGGACTGTATCTTTGTGATCTTGGAATAAAAATGATTTCTTAAACAGGTCACAGAAGATATTAATCATAAAAGAAAAATGCAAAAAAATAAAAACCAGATTATATTAAAATTGGGAACTTCTGTTTATCAAAATAAACCATTAAGAGAATGAAAAGCCAAAGCCCAGAGTGGGAAAATGTAATCCCAATATATTTATCTGATAAAGTGTCATCTACAGAATATATAAAGAACTCCTACAAAGCAATATGAAAAAGACAAGCAACTAATATAGAAATTGGCAAAAAATTGGAACAGAAACTTCAAGAGGATATCCAAATGGCTAGAAGCCATATGAGAAAAAGCTCGGCTTGATTAGCCATCAGGGAGATGTAAATTAAAGCCATATAAAAAGCGCCTCGGTGCTTGTCTGGGGTTGGGTGTGGGAGGAGACATGACTACAAACGGGCACTGGAGAACTTTCTGGGGTGATAGAAATATTCAAAACAAGATTGTGGTGATGGTTGCACAGCTGTATAAATTTGCTAAAAATAATCAAACTGCTTACAATGGGTGATTTTTATGGTATGTAAGTTATATCTCAGTATAAAGCTGTTTAAAAAACAATTAAACAAAACACCATATGAGATAATATTACACATCTACCAGAATAGCTACAATGGAAAAGATAGGAAATACCAAGTGCTGGTGAAGTTGTGGAACAATCAAAATTTTCATACACTGCTGATGGGGGTATAAATTGGAACAACCACTTTGGAAAGCTGTTTAGCAGTTATCTACTACAGCTAAACCAATGCCTGCCCTGTAACCCAACAATTCCACCTCTGGGTATATGCCCTACAGAAATATGTACATGTGTTTACAAACAGACATATACTGGAATGTTCATAGCATCTCTGTTCATAATAGTCCCAATTGGGAAATTGTATAATGCCCATCAATAGTAAGAATGGAAAATTAATTTAGTGTATTGACGTAATGGAATGCTACACACTAAAAAGAAAGAATAAATTTCATGTGTGTAGATTTCAAATACAGGCAAAACTAATCTATGGTGTTAGAAGTAATATTAGTGGTTCCCTCCATTCTGAGGGAGATATCGCCTGGAGAAGGCATGAGGGGGGTTTTTCTGGGGGCTGGTAAAGTTCTGCTGTTTAATATGTTAGATACATATATGCATTTTTCTGAATGTATGTTATGCTAAAAAAATCTGTTAGGAACTCTTAGAGCTCTTAGGACTTAAAAATACAGTTTCAGATATTAAAAACTCAATAGATCATTTGGAAAATTAATCAAGGCACTTCAGAAAACAGAAAAAAAAGACAATGACTTTAAAAACAAGAAGAGATAAACGTCTGAGTCTTTTTCTTTGAAGAATCAATCCAGGAGGTCTAATATCTACCAAGTTCCAGAAAAAAGGAACAGAAAAACAGAGGGGAGCAAATTATTAAAGAGACTGTGTAGGGTATTTCTCTAGAACTGACACACCCCAGGTTTTTGGTTTGAAAGGGCTCAGCAAACGTGAAGGGCCAATCAATGAAGAAAGACCCATAGTAGGACATACTATTAAGAGATTTTAGAAGATGAAGACATAAGGATAAGATTCTAAAAGCTTCTGGAATGCTGCCCCTCCAAGAAAAAAAAAGGGTCACATATGGAAGGACTGAAAATAAAAATGGCATCAGAATCCTCAACAGCAACACTGTAAGATGGCTTTAAAATTTGGCTGGAAAATGTTTCAACCTAGAATGCCATACCTAACCAAACTATCATGTGAGTGAGGGTAGAACAGTGACCTCTGCAGACATGCAGGACTTCAAACCCCTTGCCATTTTAGGAGAAGCTATTGTTATTTTACCACTTTAGGGGAAGTTATTGAAATACATGCTCCACCAAAATGAAGCGGCCAGTTAAGAAAGAGGAACATAAGAGATCCAGGAATGAAGCAGCCCCATATAGGGAGTCCCAGGAGATAGTGAAGGAAGTCCAAGGACAACAGTCATGCAGTGGGTCTAGACAGCTACCATGCCTTGGTTCCAAGAAGGAAAGAACACCGACTGAACACTGAAGGCTCAATAATTTTGAAAGGAATACTGTGCTTGGGCTGCAGTGTTTGAGGGCCTTAGTTATGGAACATCCCACCCACCTCATCACTGTGGAGACTCCCCGTGGCAAGTCACACCACATAGAGAGCATTCAGATAGTCTTCTGGGGTCCCTCTTCTAATTGTACATAGACAATTAATAGACAGATAAGTAAATAAAAGTATAGCAATCATGAACATGAAAAATTTGACCAAGAAAGGAAGTATCACTACTCTGTGGCTTAGCTAAGAACACTCTTTATATGTGTTACTATTAATACCCATGATTGCGTTGCCAAAACTATAACACAATTCAATTGGAAAGGTGCAAAGAAGTGTGTGTTTTATGTGTTGGGGGGGGTGAGGTAAGAAAATTAAACTTCATCTTTTATACAAAGTCAACAGATTGTGTGTGAAATGGGAAAACCAAGGAATAGAAATAAAGAAGCATGCCATATAAATGTAAATACTAGAGCAAAGAGTTACAGAGTTAAGATCTACAGTCTCTACGGATCAGAAATCTAGGGTAAGAAGAGGTGGGGCACGGAACTGCTTTTGTTGTTGTTATTATTACAGACCTGCTAGGGATAGTTAACTCTTTAAGCCATCATATATTATTTGACTAAAAGTTAAACTTAATAAAACAAAAAGAAGAACAAAGACCAAATGGTTTTTAGATATTGGAAAACAGCCCATGCAGAACAGTGATCCTTGAGACAGGGAACCAAGTAAGGCGAGTCCTAAGATCACCCCAGCTGCCTGGCTGGGAAGTTTCCAGGCTGCACACAGAGAGGAGGACCCCAGCATACTCTCTGAGTTGAGGAGATGTAGTTGAGGATTTGAGGAGTCCAAAGCAGTTGGGATTAGTAGGGCAGAGTACTGAGGCAGAGAGAGCTGCACAGAGAGCCCCTCTGGAGTCTGTACCTGGGTACTGACCGGCGTGTGTGTGTAAGCAAACTACCCAAGGCTGCTGGAAGAAAACATTGAAAAGGAGCAGGTGGAAGGAATATTTACCAGAGCTCACATCAGGGTGGGAGAGGTTCACATCCCAACAGCCAGATTAGAGAAACCTCATGATACAGGGCACACCGGATAGAATACTCAGGAAGTGATCGCCTTTGCACTGCGGTACATTAGCCTTAGATCGAAGGATGTTTCTGTCTTGCTCAGGCTTGGAAACCTAAGCAAGGCTTGGAAGGATCAAACTCTTTTCAAGTATCTTAATTTCACTCCCAAACATGATTTTAAAAATTTAAAGGACTTAAAAAAAAAAACAGCACCTAAGAACATAACATTTGTAGTGTCTAGTATCAAATATAAAATTACCAGGCATGAAAACAAGCAGAAAAATTCAACTCATAATGAGGAGAAAGTCAATAGAATTAGATCTACACATGATACAGATGATAGAATCAGTAGATAAAAACACAAAAAAGTTCATGTAAATATATCCTGTATGTTTAAGAAGGTGGACAAAAGCATGAGCATGCTAAGGAGAGATATAGAAAATATTATAAAGGTCAAGACTAAACTTCTAGTCATGGGACTAGTGGCAGATTAGATAGGGCAGAAGAAAAAATCAGTAAACTTGAAGACAGAGCAATTAAACTATAGAAAAATAAGACTGGAACCCTCCCCCTGAAAACAACCCCCAGAAAGCAAAGCACATCAGTGAGGCGTGTGATGATTTTAAGCGATCTCGTAGTCATGTCATTGGAATCCCATAAAAGGGGGAAGCAGAAAAGGTATCTGAAAAATAATGGCCAAAATTTTCCAAATTTGATGAAAACTATAAACTCACAGATTCAAGAAGCTAAATGAACCCCAAGCATGAGAAACCTGAAAGATATTAAGACACATGATCACCAAAACCTTTAAGACCAGTGATAAAATGAAAATTGTAAGAACACTCAGAGAAAGACACATTACATATAGATGGACAAAGAAGGCCAGCAGAACTGCTGCTTTGCTGGAAGCAGAGCAAGCCACAGGGCTGAACCAACATCTTCAAGGTACCATAAGAAAAATAAAACCTATCAACTGAGAATTTTATCCTGAGTGAAAGTATCTTTCAAAATAAAAGGCAAGGTAATGACTTATGCAGACATGCAAAAGCTGAAAGAGTTCATTGCCAGTGGATCGGCAGGACAAGAAATGTTAAAGGAAGTCCTTCAGGCCAACAGAAAATGATACCAGCTGGAAATGGGATCTATAGACGGAATAAAGAACACAGGAAATGGTGAGTATATGGGCAGACAGAAAAGACTTTTCATATTTTTTAAGTATCTTTACAGGACAGTTAGCTGATGGAACTGTTCCGTATCTTGACTGCATCAGTGTCAGTATCTTGGTTGTGATACTTGCTGGGGCAAACTGGGAGAAGGGTATCCAGGAATCTTAGATCTCTGTGTATTACTTCTTACAATTGTCTGTGAATCTATAGTTATCTCCAAACACAAAGTTTAATAAAACATGATTGCCTGGCTAAAGTAAAAATAATAACAATGATGACCCAACAATTCTACTCAAGTACATCAAGAGAAATGAAAATACATGTCCACTCAAAAACTTACGCATGAATATTCACAGCAGCATTATTCATAAAAGCCAACAAGTGTGGGGGTGGAAACACATGTCTATTAACTGATGAAAGGATCAATTAAATGTGGTATGTACATACAATGAAATATCTCACAATACAAAGGACAGAGCCCTGATATATGCTACAACATGAAAGCATTATGCTATGTGAACGAAGCCAGCTGTAAAAAGCCATAAATTGTATGATTCCATGTATATGAAATGTATAGATTAGCCAAATCTATAAAGACAGAAAAGAGATTAGTACTTGCCTGGGGCTAGGGCAGGTGGGGGATAATGGATGTAGGTTTTCTTTTTGAGGAATGAAAATGTTCTAAACTGACTGTGGGGATGGTTTCACAAGTTTGGGGATACACTAACCATTGCACCGTGCACTTTAAATAGGCAAATCATATGGCACCTGGATTATTTTTCAAAGCAGCTGTCATAATAACAGCAGGCTCTGACATATGTCGAAGTGAAGTGTGCGAGGCCGGGAGGGGAGATCCCTCTCCTTAGGACGAGCCAAACTGCCCGAGCAGGGTTCTCGGGGACGCTCACCACTGTCTATGCCCATCTATGGTCATTGCCTTCCTTGATGGCCTCTTGGGAAACAGGCCTTGGCATCAGCCTGGACCCAGCACCATGTTGGCAGAGATAACAAAAGGTATGTGGGTGGACAAATGGATAGATGGACAGACCCCTACAGGTCTCTAATGCTCCCAGAGCCCAGACCGTGGTGCCCACTGACCAGCCCCCACTTCTCCCTGAGCCAGCCTACCTTGGGATCCAGGTCGAAAAAACTGTAGTACTTAAAGCGCAGCCAGAGTGTGTCCCCAGTCTTGATGCCCTGCTGCATGAGGCACCGTGACGAGTCCAGCCACCTGGGCCATGGCACAGACAGGGGTGAGCGCTGGGAGAGGTACAGCACTGGGGCGGGGGGCTTGGGGCAAGCACACACTTATAGAAAAGGCCTAGAAACAGGAGGTGTGGATTTAGGGTTAGCAAGATACAGGGGAGGGTGTGGACCCTGGGAGTAGGAGCCCAGACACAAGGGGAAACGGCCCTGGGGGCAGGCCCGGGGGCAGAGCACCTGCTGTGGAGCTGGGTCTTGTCCACCAGGGAGCCGGGCCGGGGCAGGCGCTGCAGCAGGAGGGGGTCTGGCGGGGGCTGAGGCCGGCTCAGCATGTGGTAGCAGGCCTCAGTCTGAGCACTGTCTGAGAAATGGGCTGGCATCCCCCGGAACAATGCAGGTGCCACACCTAGGGTGCAGGCTGGGTCAGCCAGGCCAGGCCCCCAGCCCCCCGCCTCCTGGGCCTGGCCCCCCAGCCCAGCCCCTGGCCTGCCCGGACTTTGCTCACCCCCAGCCAGGACGACCTTGGTCAAGTCATACAACTCCTCCTCTGGCTCCTTTTCTTTCTTCTTCTTCTCTTTCTTCTCTGGAGCCCGAAGCAGAGACAGCTCCTCAGGGTGCCGGATACCTGCGGAGAGTTGGGGCCTCAGCAGGGCAGGGGTCCTGCCCCGTGACCTCCACCCAGTCTATGCGCGCTTTGGGGGAGGTCACGGCTCTGCAGGCAGGTTGAGGGACAGACAGAAAGGACATGACAATAGCTGGGCCTATAAAGGGAGGGGACCTGCACTTTGGCAGGGTGGCAGAATGGGGACCAGCCAGAGACTCACTGAGGAGGCGGCAGATGGCAGCCACAGCCTGGAAGAGGGGCTGGGAGAAGCTGGCTCGGAGGCGCAGGGCGCGGCGATTAGGCAGCCGCAGGATGACGGGCCGGTGCTGGGGCCCGAAGAAGAGGCGGGCGTCAGCCAGGATGCCATACTTGTCCAGTGTCCAGTGGGTCTGCAGCAGCCATTGCCTTTTCTGTTCCCACCAAATGGCATGATCTGACCAGTCCTGCTTGCGCTCTGCAGGGCCACGGAGAAGGGAGTGCGTGCGCATCAGCCTTGGAGGGCCCTGCCCCCAGCACTGAGCACAAGACCAGGATCCAGAGGCCCGTGATGATGCCCCTCAGCTGCCTGAGCCAAGCCACACGCGGTTGGCCTGGGGTCTGGGACCGAGGTTATGGGAGAATGGCTCTTGCTGGCTAACCCTCCTAGGCTATTGCCATATCACTTCTCAGGGGAGTTCCTACCCCAGAACCTGGATGCCCAGTCATGGTACTTTCATCTCACGCACCCCAGCCACTTGGGCTCCCCTCTGTGGCACCTCCCATGTCCTCCCGCAATTCCTGGCTCAAGGGCCTCCCTCGGGCATTCCTGGGGCTCAGGAGGCACAGGCTACCGCAGGGCCCAGCGCTGGGAGTGGCACGCAGCAGCAGGTGCTCTGTAAACATGTATGGGTCACTGGTTCTGTGACCTAGGCCAAGGCCTTACCCTCTCCATGCCTCAGTGTTCTAAGCTGGTGAGATGAGCGCAGCAATCACCCTGACCCCATGGACACTGAACAATGCCAGCGTGTGCTGAGTGCGCGGCGTCTATGGTGTTCTTCTGTGGGCACATCACAACCAGCGAGGGAGCATCAGTCAGAACTGTGACTACTGCACTTGTCACCGCCATGCAGCCAGTGACAGACGACACACGGCCTCTCTGTTCTCCCTCTAGGGGCATGAGCTGGTGTGAGCACAGCCCGCAGAGCGTGCCAAGCCTCTCCGAAGGAGGCCTGACTCCCTGCCTACGCCCTTCCTCCCACAGCCCTGCCTCAGCCCTGCCACCACGTCTCCAGTGCTTTAAGGGAGAGAGACCCCGTCTGACTCCTGGCCTTGCCCAGTGCGGTCGGGGACCCTCTTCTCCCTCCTCAGCCACAGCCTCTTCCTGGGGGTCTCACCTAGATATGGCCTCGTCTTCCTTCTGCCACCCCAATTGCACATCCCATAGGCCCAGGCACTGTGGCCTGGACCGTGGAACAGAAACTTGCAAGCTACCAGTTAAGGCAAAAGTCCACTGGCCTCCATCTTCCCAGAACTGTTCGTTCACCAGGCCATGCGCCCGGCTCTGAGACTAGGCATGTGATGATGTCTAGTCCCAGACCCACTGACACTCATCTTAAATTCTGCCCAGTTTAAAGGGAGTCTCTTAAACATCTTCAAGGTTTGAAGGGTTCATCTTAAACTATGCTCCTCTCTTCACTGGCTCCTCCGCACTGCATCTGGGGTCTGGGCGACAACTCTCCTGCTAGGACAGCATCATCCCTTTCACTTTAAGCCGCATTTAATCAATGTCAGTCCCACCTCCAAAAGCCAGCCTCCTGTCCACCCTCACTGCTGCCCGTATGAGGCCTTGTGGCCCTGCCCCACAGCCTACCCGCACTGGAGGGGCCTGCCTAGATGTAACAACGCCTCGGCCTGATGCTCTGCTGAACACCCTTCAGTGGCTGCTCTCAACCACCAGGACAGAGGCCAAACACCTCATGATGGCCACTCCAGGTGTTCTCCCTGGCCTGGAGGTCCCAGTTCTGAATAGCCCCATGCCCCGTCACACGTTGCTCCTCCCTGCTGGACTGCTCTCAGGACTCATACTAAGTGACAGATGATACATGGCCTCTCCCGGGAAGTCTTCCCTCCCAAGCTGGGTGCAGCCCTTTCTTCCAGCTCCAGGCACTCCCATGCTATCTCCCCCAGCAGAGGCCAGTGCCTGGCCCTGTGCAAGCAACTGAAGGGTCCATCTCACCTGCCCTGCTGTGTCCAGGAGGTCAGGACCCTGACTGAGCATCAGTAGATGTCTGATGCACTAAGGAGTAGGAGGGAGTAGGAGAGACAGGGACAATGTCCCCATAGCAGGTGACAGGAACTGAAGCCCTCAGGGCTCAGCAGTGGCTGGAGGAGCGGGGTCTGTGTGACTCCTCGTCTAGGCCTCTTGCTCTGCCCGTGTGCTGTGCCCTGGGGACAGCCAGGTCCTTTCTTGGGCCCCAGGCCTTCTCCCCCTCCGCCCTGGCTTGGCCTCTTCCCTGCCTGAGTCTCGGTCTGACGCCCAGTTTCCTGAGAGACCCTCTGTTCCCCACTTCCGCTTTCGCAGCCTCCTCGAGCCCTGCCTTCTGGAAGCTCCCTGACCACTTCATCCTGTTGGGCTATCCTAGGGCCCGGTCTGTCCACAAGTTGACTGACCTGCCTCATGGGCTGCACGTGGCAGGATGCCTGGGTCTGAGGAGGCTGCCCACCCCCACCCACAGGCGGCCCAGGACCCAGGCTCCTGACTGACACTATCATGGACCTGCCTTCCGGCTCTGGTTATCAGAGGGTGCCCACTGCCTTGCCAGGAAGGGGCAGCCCCCACTCCCGCAGGGAGAGGCGATGAGTAGCCCCCATGTCACTGGCCTAGCTCCTCTCTATGGCTGATACCGCAGGCTGCTCTGCTGTAACTTCCTGTGGGGGCAGGGCCTTCCCACCCAGGCCAGGCCATCACCAGCCTGCTGAGGGCTTCCGCCCGGGGGAGGGAGTGAGGGAGCAGGCCCCAGCTCCCCAGAAGCCCTCTCTCATTTCCCCTTGGGCCCCCAGAAGTGACCTCTGCTTCAACATATACAAGGCCTCTCTAGCCCCTTTTAGTGGGTGAACAGAAGATGGTGGCCAGGTCTGCTCCTCAGGGACTTAGCAAAACCCGCTGGAGTGGGAGGAAGGGAGGGAAGACAGAGGGAGAGAGAGGAAGTTGGGGAAATGACTTTTTTGGAACCAAATGATTAAGCTGGTGCCTGAGTCACTGTGACACCGTTATTGAGAGCTGCACAGCATGGAAGTGCCAGGGGACATGGGTTGTAGTTGCCTTGTGGTGCTGAGGTCAGCGGCGGGACAGCTAGGTACTCACCGATCTTCTCCACAACCTTCAGGAGCACAGCGCCGATGTGTGACTCCCCCGTGACCCGGAGAGTAACTGACTCGGCCTGGGGGTCCTCCTCTCCCACAAACACCTGCAGCTCCCAGGATGAGTCGATATAGTCCCCGGTGGCTGTCTTCATCCCCGCCATGGCTGCGGCTCTACAGAGAGGGTGGGGAGAGGCAAAGTGGGCGGGGCTCCAGGGTCTGGTGGGCTATAGGTGCTCAAGTAGGAGTGGCCCTGTGGTCAGTGCCCTGGACAGGCAGGTGAGCAGACAGTGGGCCTGCAGGCCAGTGTGCCATGGCAGCAGCAAGGCACAGGCTACCTAGTTGTTCCAGGTAAACCTCAGACCCTCTCACCATCACGGATGGTTGGGCTGAACCATGTCGTCCAACCCACTCCCGACTCACAAACAGGAAAACAGGCTTCGTAAGAGAACAGAGGGGCTACTCAATGCAAGGGCTGGGCACAGTCTCCATCTGCTTTCCCTGCCCCCAGTTCATCCTCAGACCCTCACTGATCGCTACCCACCCTGGAAATGGTTGTGAACCCAGGTCAGAAAATTGTTCCAATCCTAGCCCAAAGCTCAGATCCAAACATCCTAGACCAGCTGCGGCCTCCCTAGGGCAGTGGGAAGTCTGAGCTGCCACATGGAGAGAGGTGTGCTGGGCAGAGGGCTACAGGAGGGAAAGTAAGAGATAGGTGTCTCGGGCCTTCAGCCACTGGCCCAGCTTACCTTACCTCGCCTGCCAGGGGCTGGGGGCCACAGGTTGGGGTCAGTGTCAGCCACTCCTCGCCTCAGCCTACACACCTGCAGACTACTGTGTGCTTCCTGCCCCTCTGCAGCAAGAAGCTGGGGCCTTATCACGAGCAAGGAGCAGGGCGGGGTAGCCCCTCCCCAGGGCGGGCTGGCGTTGAGGGCAGGAAGCAAACGCCAGCCATTGCGCTGGGGTTCCAGTGGGGCCCTCTGTTCCCAGTAAGTGGAGGAAGCAGCAGAGGGCCAGAGGAGTGAGTCTCGTGGACCCAACCCCACAAAAAGGCACCCCTCATTTTCAGGGAGGCTCGGTTAAAACAAGAGAAGCTACCAATTAGTATTCAGGGATAGGTCCCCAGTAGGAAGCCATCTCCCATCTTTAACCTGTCATAAGGTTGGGGGCCTTTGGGCCATGAAACATCACTGAGTTGCCATGGAGTTGAAACAATTGAATCCAGGTCATTTAGGAATTTGGCAGGTCAAGGTGGGATGTTCCACAAAATAGATCTTTTAAGGCCCCAAGGAAAACTTCTATGTCTTTCCTGTCCCCAGTAAGGCCTCTATTTCCAAACCTGGCAAATTTATAGAGCTGCCCAGGGCAACAGCTGAATAAAGAAATTGGACTCTGAATATTCACAGACCTTTCTCCTGCCACCTCCGGGTCTCAAGGCTTCAAACTTGCCATCTTCACAGTCCCTGAACGTTCAATGTGCTCACCCCCAGTACCCAAAGCTCACTCAAGTCCCTACTCAAAAGTGACCTCAGAAGGTCCCTGGTGGCCCCACATCTTCCAACCCATCCACTGCACTGGGACCCAAGCTTTGGTGGGGCAAGTCCTTATGTTCACTACCAGGTAGCAGGAATTCAGCCTTTCCAGAGCCATATGCTACAGCGACACCAAAGGCACAGCAGGATGCCTGTGGAGGCCAGGCTTTATGACCCAGATGGAGGCCTGCTGGGGATTCCCAGGGGAAAGCCAGCTTATGTGAGGCTGCAGCAGCAGGCAGCAGAACTGGCCGCTGGCTTCAGCTGCTTCCTAGCCCAGAAGGCTACGACACTCTTGGAACAAATGAGGAAGCTTTACTCGTGCTCCAGAAGCCACCCGTCTAAAGAGGGTTTCAGAAACAGTTTGCTGCAACTATAGCGAAGTGTAATTAAAACCCCTACTTTACGCTTTGCTGAGAGCGATTTAAAAAATATTAACAGCAGCCAACTGCAAAAGGTCCAAAGCATCCCTTGCAATGGAAATCATTTTTTTGGTTCCTGAGCAGAACCCAGTGTTCTCCTCAGGTTTCTGGCTTGGCGATGAGAGGGTGGCACACTGACAGCACGGCAATCACCTAAACCTCTGGACTTGGTGCCACTTTGGGTCAAAGAGCCTCCCAGGTTCCCGTTCAGCTGCTCGCTGAGTGACAGCACCACCTAGTGACCATCTGGTAGAGCCTGCGAACCAAGCAGGCTCACACCCAACTTGGAAGGAAAAGGAGAAAAGGCTGTGGGGTCCAAGTCTAGCCAATGCACATTAGCACCCCTCCCAATCTGGGCTGTGGCCCCTGTGGGGCAGCCTCTTGAACCTTGTGGCAAGAAGATTCATCAAGGACACAGCAACGCATAACCACGCCTGACTGGCTTGTTTTATTGGAGAAGGGGACGTGTAATTAACAACGTGAAGACAGTGGGGACCTGAGGTTGGGAAGAACACCTTCCCCTTCCCACACATGCCCACTGCCCAAATAAAAAATAACCAACTATGAGAGAGCAGCTGAGACAGCGACCGAGGGGCAGGGAAGAGGACATAGAACTTGAGGGCAGCAGGAGAGACCATGCGTGTGCTGGGAGGGCCCAGAGGCATCGGCTGTACCAGTAACTTGAGTACAAGTCTGTTATCTTCCATGTAGGTCTGTATAAATATATAGAGATAAGTGGTTTGCTTCTTCCCCTTCTCTCCCTCCTGCTTCGTGCTGCTTGCCGCGGTCCCAGCTCCTCCTTCCGGACGAGGGCGAAGGAAGGGGGATGATGAGCAAGTCATCACCGAATTGCGATCAGACCCACGTCCATCAGCTTCTGGATCTTCTGTGCTATCACAGGATTCTTTAGGTGTCTATGAAAGAGGGAAAGTTATTTGGAACAAGACTGAATCTGAAGAGTCTTACTCGTTCTCAAAGCAAGCCCAACGCTAACTCCCCCAGAGGCGGCTGGGGAGTCCTGGTGGAGACTACCCTGCGGGACGCAGCCAGGGCCTTTGCCGCTGCCACGCGGCCACCCTTGCCAGGTCCACTCTGCGGCGTTGACAGACACAGCCTTGAGCCAAAAGCTTTAGCCCAGTGAAACTACTCTTCCCAACTGACTGCTTAAGCTACCATGACTAACCTAACAAGTGAAGCTGCTCCAGTTCACCAATGGCCAACCTTTCAGGTTTTAAGAAAGAATTACCCAATAAATACTCCACCCAGACTGAGCGCAGCCCCCGACTTGACCTTGTGAGTGCTCATTCCTTTTGTTCTCCTTTGCCCTTCAAGGCCATTTCCCCCAACTCTACTCACTCGCTGAGTGCCTGGGGGTCCTTCTGCATCTGTTCCAAGATGAGCCGCATGGCCGGGTCACTCATGATCTGTTGCACCTCAGGGTCAGCCATGGCCCGTCGCTTCACATCTTCGGGGCTGTCGTGACGGTTGTATTGGGCCATCATGCAGCGTTGGTAACCGTCTGATACCTCCTGCATTCCAGCAAAGCCAAAGGGGGCAAGCTTAAATAAGCACTCCCTGGCTCAGGGCCTCAGCAGGTCCAAGGTAACAAGTAAATGAGAAGGGAAGAATGGAGACCAACTACAGACAAACAAAGGGACAACCAGTGAACAGACACTGAGAAGACCCACAAGAGACAGGGACGCAGGGGAAAAGGCCCTGAAGGCCACGTGCAACCCCACCTTACAGTTGGAGTCCAGGTCTAGCGCCTTCTGGTAGACATCCATGGCTTTTGTGTAGTCCTTCATCGCTTCTAGGGCAGCTGCTTTACGTATATAACCCTTGACTGCAGACAGAAATGGGAGAGGTGAGCTCCTACCCAAAGTGCAGCTTCAAAGGCTGCTTCTTCACCTCTTCACGTGAACATCTACATCCCTCATGCCTGATGCTGGCTCCTAAGTGCCACAGGCCCCAAGGCCATGCAGAAAGAACATGCCCTCTCCTCCCATGGAATCTATGGGTCACAGTCAGGGGATGAGGAAAGGTAGTGGCGAGGCACTTACTGAAGGCCGGCTCTAGTTGGATACATTCCTCACAGTCCTAGGAAAGGGAGACCAAAAAGAATTAGGCTCATGCCTTTAGACAAGCCCCTTTAGCACCAACAGAGCCCTTGGCATTCTGAGTGTAATCCTTCACCCTGGGCCATCACACAGCACTCTACTTGTGCTTCCAGTGTTTCTGTTAACCTTGGTATCTGGGTAAAATTTAGCAGCAGGCCCAGAAAAAAGAGCACTGAGGGGCAAGTCAAGCAAGACCACATAGAGAACAAGGGTAAATTATGGACCATCCCATATAGGGCAAAGGGTCTGGATTCCCAAAAGGTTTATGACATGGGAAAAAACAAAACACCACAACTCGGGAGGCAACTAGGTGAAATGCATGGCCTTGAGTACTGACAGCTTTAAAACATTTTTGGACAAGCGGGAAATCTGAATATGGACAAGTAGCAGACGGCATTATGGTCTTAGTTCTGCTATTATTAGGTGCCAATACTACTGTGACTTAATGGATAGAAATATTTCAGGAGATACATGCTCAAGAACATCAAGGTCAAGTGCCACAATGAATACAATTTCCTTCTGGAAATGGTTCACCAAAAACATCAATACACACTGTTCAACAGAGGTGGTGAACACACAGGTTTTCTGTGTTGTCTGAAGTATCTTCAAAATATTCAAGTATGGGGGAGAAGAACACTACGCACTGAGGTTTGCACACCTAGGCCTAATTCCAACTCTTCCACCAAGAAGCTCTTTAGACCAGAAACAACTCCATTCATTCTTTCCTCCATTTGCTTAATTGGCAAAGTGACAATATTGTGACAGGCAACTGACAATACTGTTCTTTGCTTTGCTAGCCAACTTGCTTTTAACATTGCCCTTGCATAGTCCTCTACCAGCAGCAGTCATGTCTCTAAGGCCAAAGACCCAAAAGACAGTGGCACTGAAAACAGAAAGCATGACGAACTCAGATATTAGATCACATTTTGTCACTTTTCCCTATGATAATCCAGGTTTGTCTCCTATAGAACAATTACAATATTGCCAATAGAGGCACAGAGTGGCTCGAGCTCAAGAGAATGATGGAGTAACTCCTCCACAGGGCTGAACATACTTCTATTTGCCCATACTGGATGTGACAGAGAACAGCAAGGTACTTCCTCACAAAAATTAAACACAGATCTACCTATGATCCAGTACTTCTTCTATGAATATAATGCCTAAAAGAACTGCAACTAAGGACTTGCACAGATACTGTATACCTGTGTTTACAGTAACATTATTCACAACAGCCAAAAGGTGGAAAGACCACAATGTCCATGACAGCTGTGTGACTAAACGAAAGGGAGTACAATGCTGGTATGTGCTTCAGCAGAAACCCTGAGAACATTATACTAAGTGAAAACAGGCCAGACACAGAACAACTATCATGTGGTTCCACTTACATGAGATACCTAGCGTGGTCAAATTCATGGAGACAGAAAGTAGACAGTGGCTGCCAGGGGCTGGTGGGGGAGAGTGGTGGGAGGAGTTAGTGTTTCAGAGGAATAGAGTTTCAGTTTGGGAAGATGGAAAAGTTCTCAAGATAGATGGTGGTGATGATTCCACAACAATGTGAATATACTTGATGTCACTAAAGTGTACCTTAAAATGTTATAAAGGCAAAATAAAAAAAGGAAGGAAGGGTAATGGGGAGGGAAAAGGATCAGGATCCACTTCCCCAGTGCTGTGCTCCCCACACTCATGAGTCCATGGGCCACAACTGGGTGGACGCAGCTTCTGCATTTTACAAACCTCACACATGCACCTCCACCTAAAAATCTACCAAGTAAGATCAAGCTGATGCTGATGACATCAAAGGAA